CCAGCAGGTAAGGAACTCCACAGTGTTCCTCAGAGGGGTCCCTGACTGGTTCTCAGAGCCAAATAAACTGAAAAATTCACTGGAAAATGTACTAGAAGAGTATCCTGACGTGAATGCTTTTGCCTTCCTATCCTACTCAGCCACGGCTCCCATAACACGGGACCATAAACTGTCTGCCTTAAACAACAGAAATTAATTTTCTCAAGCTCCCAGTGGCTTGCGTAATCCGTGGTGAAGGTGGCAGACAATTCAATTTCTGGCAAGAGCGTACTTCCTAGCTTGTAGGTAGCTACTATTTTGCTGTGAGAAAAGGAAAGAGACAGAGAAGAGGACACTCTGGTGTGTCTCTTGTAACGGCACATGCCTTCATGAGGGCCACTCTCATGACCTCATCTAACCTTATTGCCCCCCAAAGACCCTAGCTCCAAATACTATCACATTGGAGGTGAGGGCTTCAGGATCTGAATTTGGGAGGAATAAAAACATTCAAGCCATAGCACTGCCTCAGAGCCATCCCTCCCTCTGGGACCTGCATGTGGATTTTCCTTTTGGGATCCACAACTCCCCCCACTCAGTTCCTGGGATTCCCACTCCTAGCTCCCTGGGTAGGAAGAACTTCGCCTATCCAATAAAAATGTTCCCACCTCCTGGACATAGTCATGGTTGAAACACAGTGCCATGGCCCATGTTTGGGCAATGAGAGCCTGTTTTGGACTGAATTATGCCCTTCCTCCCTCCTCCATATTCTTATGTTGAAACCCTATACCCAAGATGACTGTATGGAGATGGGGCCTTTAGAGAGATAGTTAAGATTAGATGAGATTATAAGGGTGAGACCCCAATCTGATAGGATGGACATCCCTTTAAGAAGAGATACGACAGTGCTCTCACCCCGTACACACAGGAAAGACCGTGGTTTTCTGCGAGTCAGGAAGAAAAGCCTCACCAGAAACAGCCTGAGTGCACCTAGATCTTGAACTTCCAGCCCCCAGAACTGTGAGGAGATCAATTTTCTTGGTTAAGACAATCAATCTCGGGCCCCCTGGTGGGGCAAGGGGTTAAGAAGCAGTACTATGAAGCTATCCCCAGCCACTGCAGCATGGGCCGAGTTCGATCCCCAATTCCCAGCCAGCCAGGGAGCTGACACACATGGCACAGCAGACCTCTCCTGTCTCACCCACTGCTCCCCTCAGCAGTGGATTTTCGTTGATCCGTCTGTTCTGCTCCCAACTCTGTCCCTGGTGAATCCTCTCCCCACCCCCCACCGCATAACCCTGGCCTATACCCCAGCTCTTGTATTCATAAATAAATAAATATTAACAAAAAAAAAAGACAACCCATCTCCTTATTTTGTTACAGTATCTCAAGTAGAAAACTCTGGGCCAGAGCCGTTGGGAAAAAGTGGGGTTATTAACTGGGAGGAAATGTCAGCTTGTGCTGCCAGAGGTCCTGAGAGCAGCTAGCCTTCAATTAAGCCAACACAGAGGAGAATGAAGCCAAGAGACAGAGGTCCTCACTGTGCCTGATTTGAGCACCTGGATCCAACCACGCCTGAAATGATTTCACCTCTGCATACCGCAGCTACACAAATCAATGAATTCTTTTTACTTGTGTTTAGTTTCTGTCACATACAACCAAATGCACTCTAATACAGCATCAACTCCTATTTTATTCTTTTCTTCATTATATCATATTATCCAGTTACATCATCATCACCCTCACACTGATGTAAATGAGTTGTGGTCAGTGACACCTTAATTGAAGTCTCAGTACTACCAAGGCTAATCGAAGCATTGGAATCCACAGCCTCTGGGTAGGTGGAATGGAGAAGAACTTGGAAATTCTTTAAATTCTCACCAGTTATTCAGAGATCACCCATCTGACTGACTCCATGTGAAATCTTGAAAGAAAACCAAGAAGTCCTTTGCCTAAGTGCTTGCTCCCCTAAGGGAGCAAAGGGCACCCCAAGGGCCACCCAGAAGGCATCATGCCACTGTAGACACCGTAGTGTCCTGGGCAGCAGGGCCAAAATGCACACAAGCCAGCACTTAGCCCCTGCACTGCCTAGCATGTTGCTTACGCTCTTATGTGGTCGTGACAAAGTGATCAACAGGGGAGCCACCCTCAAGGTTATTTCCTCTGTGCCAGATGGAACATTGGCCAACACCAGTCAAAAAAAAAAAAAAAACCAAAAAACCCAGACAAGTCTCAACTGTAGTGAACTCAACAAAAGACAGTTGTTCTCAAACTCTAGTCACATCTGTATCACAGGGGAGGCGAGGGACAATTTTCTAAAACACAGAGAGCTGAGTCTAACCCCCAGAGTTTCTGACTCAGCAGTTCTGGGTGGGGCCCAAGACTTGACACAGATTTCCTGGTGCTGCAGGCCTGGGGACCATCCATTGATTTAGAAGATTGCTGGAGAACTGAAGAGGGCCCCTCGGAGGACAGGAAATTGTTCAGCATGTGGCTTTTCTGCTCCACCAAAGCCTTCACTTCAACAAAGACTCGTCATCTTCTTTGTGAAATCTTGAAGAATTTTATGCAATACCAATTTTCTGCCTTCAGGAATAAAGCTGGAAATGTCACAGCAGGTCCTTAGGATAATTATCTTTGTTTTCCAGAGAAAGAAGTAGTGACACCAGACATTATGGTTGTGGTCTAAAGAGAAGACAGGCATGGGAGGCAAATTTTTGTGTGTCATGAACATGATCAGATGTACACAAAGAGGAAAATAGTACAATAAACCCTCAAATGTCTCCACTTTGGCAATGACTGGTTCTCAAACTGGAGTGTTCATCAGAACAGGAGGCTTGTCAAAACAGAGATGACATGACTGTCTCCACATTCTAGAATTATCATTTACCACCTATGAGTGTCGTATGACCCAACAGTACTGACGTTCAATAATCCCAGAGGTCGAGTTGTAAAGATTATCTCCAAATGCAGGTATAAGCACCACACCAGCATACTCCGCTCAGAGGGTACATGGATAACATGGATAACAGGGCTCACTTGGGAGCCCTGTTTGGCTTGCCTTCATTTTTAAAGTAACCCCAAAAAAGTAGAATAGTGTCGTCTGGCAAACTGTTTGCAACTTCTAACAGAAGTAAATGTGGGCGCCTCCCTGGTGGTGCAAGGGGTTAAGCACAGCACTATGGAGTGATCCACAACCACTGCAGCACGAGTTCGATCCCCGGCCAGGGAGCAACCAACATGGCACAGCAGACCTCTCCTGACTCACCCACTGCTCCCCTCAGCAGTGTATTTCAGTCAATCTGCCTGTTCTGTTCCCCACTCTGTCTCTGGTGAATCCTCTCAGCCCCCACACCTCTGGCTTACACCCCAGCTCTTTTATGCATAAGTAAATAAATCTTAAAAAAAAGAAGTAAATGTGTGTTCACCTTGTGATCCAGTAAATCCACTCATAACTATTTACCCCCAGAGAAATGATAGCTTATGTACACACACATACATTCGCACGCACACACACACACTCCCCACCCTGTAACAGAATGTTCACAGCTTTACTCACAATAGCTAAAAACAAAAAAAGAAACCAGCTAGGTTCCATTGAGTGGTGAACAAATTAAAAATCATGATGCTTTCACACAGTGCAATACTACTCAGCAATAGAAAAGAAGGAATTATTGCTGTGGACTACTACTATGCACAACAGGGATAATTTCAAATGTATTGTGTTGAGTTAAAAAAAAACAAAAACAAAAAAACAAGGGCCTCCCTGGTGATGCAGGGGTTAAGCACCACATTATGAAGCAATTGAAGGCTCTGCAGCACCAAGTTCAATTCCGGGATGGCCGGGGAGCTACCCACATGGCTAACCACATGGTGCAACAGACTTCCCCTGTCTCTCTAGCTGCTCCCCTCAGCAGTGTATTTCAGTCAGTCTGCCTGTTCTGTTCCCCACTCTGTCTCTGGTGAATCCTCTCTCTCACACACACACACACACATGCATCTCTGGCCTGTACCCCAGCTCTTGTATGCATAAATAAATAAATAAATCTTTAAAAAAAATACAACAGAAAGGCAGGTTCTGGGGGAAGCGATGGCAGGCAGGGTGTCCACCACAAAGGTGATAAGCCCCTGGAGCAGTCCAAGAAAAGGCCCAAGGAGATGGAGGGAGATAAGGCATTCCAGCAGAAACTGAAAGAGGAGAGCAAAAGAAACTTGAGGAGCTAAAAACAAAGGCTGTGGGGGAAAGGCCCTCTGGCCACGGAGGGAAATCCGGCAAGAATTCAGCTGCTCCTTATGCCTGAGGCAATGGTGATCCTTAGTCCCATTCTTGCTTAGACCTCTGGCTCCCCTGCCATTGCTGCCCATCGCTAGGATGAAGTGTCTTGGAACCAGTCGTACATTTAAGTTATTATAAAGCAAATAATTGAACCACAATAACTCGACAATAAAACCCCAGATGCACACGGAGAACATTCTGTATTACTCTAAACCTGTCAAGTCCACAAAAGGGAGGAAAGATAAATTGGGAAGGAGCAGGAGGGAACTTTTGGGGGCGGGTGGGGACAGTGGTGGTTACACAGGTGTACACATACACGCAAATTAATGGACCCGATCATGGAAGGTTTGCACACTGTCCCGTGCACGAGTTCTCCCGCTATAAAGCACTCCTGGCACACATCCGCAGCCGCGCCCACGCACCATCCCAGGAGGCTCAGACCAGCTGCGGCCCCGGCCCTGCCCACCCCGGAGAGGTTACGGCCCACGGCGTCCTGCTTCCCCCTCCTCCAGCCCAACTTCCGCGCCCCTCGTCGGGCAGGGACCGCCACCCCGTCCCGGGCAGGGCGGCGCCCCAGCTGGCTCGGTGCCCCGCGGGGCTGCAGACGTGCGCGCCCAGCTCTCCCGTGCGCCCTGCAGACCGCACGCCCGGGGCCCGGCCCCGCCCCCAGCCCGCCCCCGGCCCGCCCCCCCTTATCTGGCCCCTCCGCCGCGGCCGGGGGAGGTGGCCGGCGGGCAGGAGCCGCGCGATGTCCCACGGACCCGGGCTCGTCCGCACCACGTGCAGCACTGGCGCCCCGCTCGGACCCGGGGCCGGCGCGGGGCTGGCGGGGACGAGCCCCTCGGAGGCGCTGCTGGACCGCGTCTATCCGCGCACCTACTCGGCCCTGCTGAAAGTGGCGCAGATGGTGAGCGAGAGCCGGGCCGCGGGCGGGGGTCTCCGGAGGGGCCGCGGGGCGCGATCCCGGGGGCGAGGCGCCGCCCGCCGGGGCCGGGTGGAGCCGCCGGAGCATCGCGCGCGGGCGGGGCGCGGGCCGGGCGCCCCGGGAAAGGTCGTGCAGGCGCCGCGGGGGACGTAGCCCGTACCCCGGTCCTGGCTCGCTCGGGCTGGGATCTCCAGGGACCCAAGTTTTTCCAGACACCCCTCTGGGGCCTAACGCGCCTTCTGATCGCAGCCGAGCGCACAAGTTTCTTTCGGTCTTCCTTCCTCTTCTCTGGCCCGCGCTGCTTCGACCCCGAGCCGGGGGTGGGAAGAGTCAACCCGGCGGCGGCGCTGAGGCGGCGAAACTCGACCTCCTGCCTGCCCCGGGCCTCCGCTTTCCTCCCAACCCAGCGCCCCAGGCGCCCCCGCTCCGTGCGCGGCGACCCGGCGAGGTGGGAAGAAGTGGGACCTTTGGGGCTGCAGACCCGGACCCCTGCGCTCCGGGGCTTCAGCGGAGAGGCCAGGTCTCCGGGGGCCCCTGGAAAGCAGAGGATCCAAGGGGATGGCCTGTTTTGGGGGAACCAAAACTTACTTGGGGGCGCTGGAGTGCTGTGGGGCGACTGTGGGGTGGGGGTCAGCTGTGGAAACGGGCAGGATAAAGGGCTGGCCTCGGCGTGACCCACAGGGTCTTGCACCGTAAACACTGGCTATGGCGACCTCTCTTCTCACTCTTTTTCCCTTCCCTTTTTTGTTTTTTTTTTTTTTCCTCATCCTTAAAAGTGGCTTCATCTTAAGCACTTTTTCCATTTGTTGAATGTGTTTTGAAACCGGGTCCGGCTGCTGGTGACTCTCCATTTGCTGTAAGGTTTGCAAGACGAAGGGTGGAGGAGGGCCTTAGAAGAGGGCTCCGGAGGAAGGAGCGTGGGCCTAGCAGCAAGGCCAGGCCCCTGCAGCCGGGACCTGCCAAAATGGACCCGCACCAGGGTCTCCCGGACACAGGGCAAGAGCTGCGGGCAGCAGTGGTACTCTGGGTGCCAGTGTGTGTGGAGGGGGCTCTTGTTTCCTACTTGACCCAGAGCTGGGCGAATGGGGCCTGAGTTCCCTCTGGTCTTAAAAAGTTATGTAGATGAATTAAAAATTAGGAACTTAGAGGCTCTTAGCTACTAACAAAAAACTGTTGTTCTGAGCAATGTTGGTTTTGAGCAAGGTGTTTTTTGGCTCAGGCTAAAAGCGCTGATCAAGTCCATGCTTCAAAGGTGAGCAGAGGGGAGACAGGTCCTACCTGAGCGTTGGAAGTTATATCATCAGTGCATTGATGAATTTGGTGGGCAAAGATCTGATCAGAAGCCTCCATCTTGGTCCATTAATTTGATGGGCCACGATGGTAGAGAAGAGAAACTTCCATATCACTTTAAACTCCTCCAGTAGCCTCTTGCCTGCAGCCCTTGTGCTGGGTTCAGGCAACATGGCAGGGTCTGTTCTAAAGAGGGCACCATAGACTTGAAGGATTTGTTCTCTGTGTGCCCTTCTTAAAACCATGCCCACAAAATTCTTACACCATCCTTCTTCCCTGGGGAGGCCCTTGTGACTGCAGGCTGCTTTGAGCAGACCCTCTGAGAATAAAGTTGCCTTGGAGGGGGGTCATATTACAACAGAGAGGCTCTTTAGGACCGTCTTCTTGGGCCTTTTGCCTAACTCCTTCCCATTCTGTCCCTCCTCTCTCCTGGGGCGCGTGCTTGGACATTTGATTTTTACTTGTCTTTGCTGGAAAATACTTGTGTAGAAGTTGCCACCTTTGAGTACTCTTTGAGTCTCTAATTTTGACCACTGATGTCTCACTTGCATTCTGAACATATCCCCTAAAGCCCAGCTCTTCTCACCATGGCCTGCTCCACACACCTGTCGACGTCTTACCCTAAAAAAGCACTGACTGGCTGTCCCCCTTGGAGAACAACTTCCTTTCTTTGCTTTGGGTCTCTCATGGGTCCACTACTGCCACAAAAAGGGGAGGTGAGAAAATAGAAAGAAAATGAATTCGTACGCGAATGTTGCCACTTGGCATGCCATTTTAATGCATCCTATGACCCTGTGGCCATGAGGCTTTCATGTCTTTGGTCTTCCTCTCTGGACTACAGACACAGTTACTGCATCTCAGGAACTAGGTTTTTTGTTGTTGCTGCTGTGATGTGTCGAGTCCTACTATTGTTCTCTATGGGAATGACATACTATATATTGTGCGTGTCCTTAGATGTTTTTAATAATCCAGTGAAGTTGGGCCTCCCTGGTGGCGCAAGGGGTTATGTCTCAGCACTACGAAATTATCTACAGCCACTGTAGCACGAGTTTGATCCCCGGCCAGGGAGGTGACCCACGTGGTGCAGCAGACCTCTCCTGTCTCGCCCACTGCTCCCCTCAGCAGTGTATTTCAGTAGATCTACCTGTTCTGCTCCCCACTCTGTCACTGGTGAATCTGCTCACCCCCTGCACCTTTGGCCTGCACCCCAGTTCTTGTATGCATAAATAAATAAATCCTTAAAAAAATCCAGTGAAGTAATGTGTTTGACAGATGAGGAAACTAGCTAAAAGGTTGAGCTGTCAGCTGCAGGGTTGGGCCAACCCAGGGTTCATCCCCAGGGACCCGCTTGTTAATAGATCTGGAGAAGTCAGTGCCTTAGTGAGGTGCCTGTTCACACTGAGGTAATACTTTGTTTGTTTGTTTGTTTGTTTTTTTAATAGAGGCATGTTTATTTATTTGTTTGTTTGTTTGTTCTGTTTACACGTGCACTGGCTATAGTCAGAAGCGCGGGAGGGTGAGAGAATTCACCAGAGCCAGAGCAGGGAGCAGAGCAGGCAGAAGGACCGAAATACACTGCTGAGGGGAGCAGCGGGCAGCAGGAGAGGTCTGCGCGCCATGTGGGACCCTCCTCCGGTGGCCGGGGAGCAGCCGGGGATCGAACCGGCGCCGCAGAGGCCGCGGGCAGCTTTGCAACCCAGCGCTCAACGGCTGCACCACCGGGGAGGCCCACACTGAGGTAATACTAACAATGAAGTAGACATAATAGCAAATGGCTAAGATGTGAGGGATAGGAAGAAATCAGAACCCTCATACGTGCCCCATGGGAATGTAAAATGATGCAGCCATACGGGAAAACATATGCCCACACACAAATTTGTGCATGTCTATGTGAAGGGTCACAGCAGCATTATTCGTCATCACCAAAGAGTGGGAACAACCCACATGTCCACTACCTAGTGAATGGATAAATAAATATGGTATAACCACACAGTGGAATGTTATTCTGCAAAAAAAAAAAAAAAAAAAAGAATGAAATTCTGATATATGCTACAATTTGAAAAACTTTGAAAGCATGTGAAAAGTGTCTCCCCTTGTATTAAATGCCTAGCATTGGCGCATAATTTATAGAGACAGCAAGTAGATTAGTGTTTGCTTAGGAGTGGGGGATTTGGGAGCAATGAGGAATGGCTGCTACTGGATAGAGGATTTCTTTTTGTGGGTGATGAAAATATTCTAACATGGGTCACCAACTGATGAAACCGTTGAATTGTATGCTTAAATGTGTAAGCTGTGTCTCAATAAATCTGTTAAAAAGAAATAGATGTAGGGACCAGTGGGGGGAGTACTCTGAACGAGACCCCCTCGGTGGGGAGGGCACAGCTGTGCCTCCGGAAACTCCCTGGTATCCTCCTGCATCCACTACTGGAAGGAGGAAGGTGCACCCATAAAACTCAAAGTCTGAGCTAAAGAACCAGGTCTCAGGCCTCCCCGGTGGTGCAGCGGTTGAGCACTGGGCTGCGAAGCTGCCCATGGCCTCTGCAGCACCTGTTTGATCCCTGGCCCCCGGCAAGGGTGCCACATGGCACACAGACCTCTCCTGTCGTGCCACTGCTCCCCTCAGCAGTGTACTTCAGTCCTTCTGCCTGCTGTGCTCCCTGCTCTGGCTCTGGTGAATTCTCTCACCCTCCCGTGCTTCTGACTGTACCCAGTGCTTGTATAAATAAATAAATAAATCTTAAAAAAAAAATAAAAAAAGAACCAGGTCTCCTGGCATCACCAGGGTACCCGAGGACCTGAGCTGGGAGGGATGTCCGGGGGTCGGAGGCGTCCAGATGCCCAGCATCGTGGCCTCACCAACACTCCTCATCACTTACATTGTTCAGCGGGCACTTAAGAGTGCCACATCGAACTCCATTTCTGCAGAAACAGAAGCTGTGATTCTGCTCTGGAGACAGGCAAGTCCCAAAGCCATCTGGTCAGGGAGATAACAGCTCCGATGGTTGCCCACATCAAGGAGGAAGGCTAGGGAAATGAAGGTGACGTCTGAGCTGAATCTTGAGCCACAAAAGTGCGTTTGTAGGCTTTGGAGTTTCCCATTTGTTTGGTATGTGTAAGTTGGAGATAAGTGCTATGTTGGTGGGGTAGTGGTGATAAGGAGACATATAGCTGTACATGAGCCAGTATGTATTCTTACCTTCCCACCTCCAACATTTAGAAAGGATGTCATCTCATTTATTGAGCAGCTGCTATGTTCTTAACTCTGTGTGAGGCATGTAAAATACAGCCACTAACAAGATAGACCCTTTCTGCCATGGCAGAAAAAGAGAGACTGTGATATTTGCAGAACTGTAATATGGAAGGAGAATCAGAATGTAGTTTCACAAGCAGCAAAGGTGGAAACCTAAACGTCTTCCAGAAGGTTTGTTTATTTATTCAGCAAATATTTGAGCCCTTACCATATGCTAGGGCACTGTGGAAAGAAGTGTAAACAAGACAGATCAGCCTCTGTCCCCCTGACATGCTAATAGGGAAAATAAACATTAATCAAATGATTATAAATATAGAATATAAACTGGGGCAAAAACTGTGAAAGAAAGGTATTCAGTACCATAAGAATTAACCAGGAGATCTGCTCTGTCTGGGAGGTAAGCCAGGGCTTCTCTGAAGAAGGGGCATTTAAAGGATGAGGG